GGTTCTGGTTAAATCTGTGACGGTAAATCAGACTGAGCTGATCAGTGATCGATAGAAACACTGATGGTTATTAAAAGGTGAGTTAAAGTCTCTGAACAGGATTAAATATATCTGAGCCCTGTTTAACCCACATCTGGAGCAGTTCCTCAGGATTAGAGCTGATCGGGCTCTACAGCGTTATTGATTCAGAGAAAATGGACCCATCGGGAGGCGATCACATCGATCAGAATCAGCTGAGATTACGGGACGGTGCAGAAAGAGAAGGGGGAACCTGGACTCCGCAGAGGTCGGCTCTGGGGGTTCTTTGGACTCTGCTGGATGTGGAAACTGGAGAAACTGTGGACCAAATTCCACGGAGCCGGAGCTTTGGCTAGAGGCAAGATCACACCGTTAAAACCCGCCGGCGCTGATGGAAACACGACAGGATCAGTTCACGCTGCTGCTGTTTGCCACCAAGCATCCGGTGACCCTCTGAACTCCAAAAGCTGCAGCACGTTTGAACGGCGTGTTTTAAAACTGCAGCCACTCTGAACCCCAACACCTGCCAGTGGGTTTGAAAGGCTTGTTATTATTAAAAACTTTAGATTTTCAGCGGACTTTGAAGCACTCATCTGTGACGTACAGCTTCATCAGGAAACTTTTCTAAATCTAACCTTAATAAAAAATTTCATTAAAATCGTCTTATTCTACATGTCTTGTTCAAAAATCTGTCAAAAATGAACCTTTTGTATTAACAAGAGTCTGCAAAAAAATAAAAATTGTGCAGCTCTCGACTCAACCATAAAGCCATCAGTCACTCAGCTGCAACAAAAAGTCAGGAGGCAAAAATTATGGGACTTTTTGGCTTAACGGCCGCAGAGTTTATTCTGAGCCGAGAGGAAACAAATGAAAAATGTAAATAGTTAAATATCTCCAATCTGTAGAGTTGCCGTTTATTTCAGTTACTGTAAAATGTAAAAATGTAAAAAGTCAGAAGTTCAACAGAAACATAAAGTCCTGCAGCAGAACGATGGAAACCAGAGAGAAATGCAAGGAAAAAAAATGGTGAAAAGTAAAACTGAGGGTTGAATTTCTACAAAAAAACAGAGTTCAGCAGGTTAAAGGTTTACAAAAAGCAAAGGTCTTGTTGAGTTTATCTTTCATGTCGGTTGTGAATTTATAAAAAGGTATTTATTCCACAAACTGCTGCTCGGAGTTCAGAGGGTTAAACTCGGGTCACTAACAGCTACACAGGATTAAAGCAGCATCACTGAAGCAGAATCACACATTAACACAGGAGGTAGTTTGTTAGGACGCAGAGTCAGCAACACAAAGGTGTGAGTCCGAGAACGAGGAGCCTCTTGATGTCTGAAGCAGCTTCTCTTTAACTTAACTCATCTCCTGTCTGGTCTCGTGTTGCTTCACGTGTGTTTGTTCAGTTTTATCAGATGTTCTCTGTTCAGACCTCAGGAGGCTCGTTGTGTTTGGTTCGTGTGTCTTTGTGTGTCTTTGTGTTGCGGTACCTCCAGAGGGGGGCGCGCTCTCCTCCGTGTCCGTCCCAGAGCGGTGCGACGGTCCCGGGGAGCGCGACTCCGCCCTCAGCCTCCTCTCGTAGCTGAACTCTGGAAGTCTGGGAGCCTGAGGACGAGTCTTTCTGGCCGGATTCATGAAGTAGCAGTAGGCACAACGAAAGGCTGCAGGAGGAGAGAAGAATGACACAGGTGCAGGATTTAAACTAGTCTGGTTAATGATCCAGTACCAGTATCATGGTTCTGGACTGGTCCACTTGTACTTCTCAACATGCTTGAAGGAACCTGACAGAGTTACATCAACACAGAAACGCATCCAAGAGTCTCAACTTTGGGAGAAAAATGAGCGACTGAAAGGAGTTTTTTAAGAATAAAACCAGCACACTGCGCTGCAAAATATGTTTCTCCTTAACTCTCTGAATTCCGTCGGCTGGTTTTAAATACATGAAATCTTTAAAAAAAACAAAAATTACAAAAATCCACAAACCGAAAAAACAGGAAGAATCATCTGATTTTCAACTTTCCGACGGTCTTTGAATGCATCATGAGTGACTGTCTTCAAGAAAGTTAATTAAATCTGTGACAACTTCTGAATCATCTGAAGCTCAGAAAGCACTGCTGGGTTTGAAAGGCTTGTTATATGTTTAAAAAAAAACATCAAAATTACAGCTTATCAGCCAGAAACTGTGAAAAAAACAGAAAAGAATCATCAGGTTTTATCTTCCTGACAGTCCTTGAGCTCTACTCATTTATAACGCGGCATTTGATCAGAAAATAATCCAAATCTAAGCTTCGGATCGTCATTATTTCATTGAAATTAATTTAATCTTTGGCTCGTTCAAAAATTCATCAAAAACAAACCTTTTGCTGAAACCAGATTCTGTGAAAAACTAAATATTCTGTTTTCTCCTGTGCAGCTGTGAAAGGACTCGGCCGTGACCGACTGTGATGACGTGACAACAGTTCAGAGTAAAACTGTAAATAGCTAAATATCAACAGTGCGGAGCCTCCATGTGTTCCAGTGTTGGTGACATCTTAGAAACATGCTGCAAAACATTTTAAAAACTGAACTTTCTGATCTTACCCAGATACTCAAACTCCTCTTTCAGAGCCATGCCGTTATGAGAGAAACACTGCTGGCAGACGAGAGCGTATCTGGAGGAAACAAGGACAGAAACAGTCTGTAAGATGAATCCTAAGACGATGGTCTCTGCAGGAGGAAGTCAGTCCGAGTTCAGCCTCCTCAACCAGCAGGAGTTGTTTTCTTGATGTGAGAAACTGTCCTTCTGCTGGCCGAGTTTGTCAGTAAATGTGATGGCTTTAACGTTTCCACTGCAGTAACAGCAGCAGCAACAGGCAGAGGAGTTCTGTTCACCTGTTCTGGGGTCCGTCGCCCACCAGGTACTCGATGACTCTGTCCATAGCTCCTCTGTCTTTGGGAAGGATGGGTCTCGCTAGAGGAGGACCTGGAGGATGTAGACCTGCACAGAGTCCACAGACAGGAGTTAGTACAGACATAGACGGAGTCTCTGCGCCGCTTTTATATAGAAGACTTTAATAATAACGATGGGATTTCTTGAAATATACATATCTAGATGTGAATTCTTACATGCCAGTTCACAGGGTGTTACTGCATTTTGACAGGCTCAATACAACACACTTTGACTGGTGATTAATAAAACCAGAAACCAGCTACTGCACATTTTTCACATACAAACATTTAGAGAAATTAAAGATCAGTATCTGGGCCAATCAAGATATTTTTTAACTGATCGGTATCAGCATTAACCTTGAAGAAAAGCTCTCTCATCTTGTTTGAACCACTGTTGTATGTACAGCAAAATGATGATAAACCTTATTTGATTTAATAAAGGCAAAGTACAACTTGTGGCTGGACTCTAGTGATGTTAATTTTTAATAATTTTTTGTTCACTAATTTGTCAGTCAATTATGATTAAATGACAACAGAATTTGAGCCCAGTGCACATTTGTCCTGGTTGATTCCAGTTTGTCTTCATCACCTGAGCTCTGGTTGGAGGTCATTAACCTCCACTTTAGTCTCTGTCATGGTGCTGTTGCTGCCACAATGTTCTCCTGATCACCTCATTAAAATACAAGAATGTCCTTCAAAACATTAATTAAAGTTCTGTCTTAAGAACCAGCTTGGATGTAGAAATGCACTTTTATCCCTAATGTGTTGTAGAACTGTTCAGTTGTCAAACAGACTGATTTTAATCCCTTTAATGTTCTTGAAGTGTGTAATTTTTCAGAAAACGTCATCAGATTAGAACTCTGTATGAGCAGATACCAAATAAATGACTAGAATCAGATCGTTGACTAGATAATCTTGGTGTGGACATCCCTACAGGCCAAGCGTTCCGACCTACCTACGCCAGGTATCGGGGAGCAGGGCGTCCTGGGTGCTGCCCCCTGCAGGATGGAGGCAGACAGAGCGGATCTCTCCGGAGGTCCTCCTGGAGCTGAGAGAGGAACAGGTTCTGTTGGAAGAGCAACACGAGACAAAGACACAACTGACGTCTGAAGGAGCTAAGTCAAAGACAGCTGACGAGCTCTTCCTCTCAGCTGCCTCCGACTTGGAGCTTCGCCAGAGAAAACCTGCATTTACTGACAATCTGTGTGATTCCATCTGAGTCATCAGAGCCTTCTGCTCATCGACAATCTCTCAGTGGCTTCAAACGTTTTCATCATAACTACAGATATTTAAAATGGTGTTTGTAAAACTTATATCGATTCGTTTCCAGGTGAATTTCTTTTTTAAATTGCTGTTCGACAAATTTCAATATGAGAAAAAACCTGCTGAAAGTGAGCTGACGGGCAATTTGTACAAAATGTATCCCAGAAATTACTTGATGTGTGAAGCTAAAATATCACAAATGTCTCCACAAACACACATAATTTATGCTACAATCAAGAGATCAGAAATCAGAGACAGTCAAGGAGCAGAAGATGTTTTATAGATTTGATGATCTGAATGAAGATGGACTGACTTGTGTGTGATATTTCTTTTCTTCTTCAGAGTTTACCTGCCTGTCTACAGGTGAGCTTTCTGTTTCTTACCCACAGGTGTCCCTCCTGGCCCCATCATGGGTCGAGCTCCGGGTGTAGGAGTCATTCCCATGGCGACTGGTGTTCCCATTGGCATCGGCCTCATCGGCATCCCTCTCTGACGAATCTCTGCACGGAAGAAACACATTCTTACTGGAATCTGTTGTTGTTGTTGAGGCAAGAATCTGACGTGTTCGTCCTTTTACTGTTGTATTGTCTGACAAGAACTCTCTTTTTGTGGCTCTGGTCTGAACACAGTCAAATATCACTTCATCAGGTTGATGTCGTACCTTGTCCTGGTCTGGGAGTCATCTGGGCACGCACCGGAGTCGACTCCAGCTCCTACAGCACAACAGAGACACAATTAAAGATAACACTGAACAGACGAACGGATGAAACGAAAGTCACGACAGCAGCACTCACAGCTTTCTTTTTGGCTTCAGGATCGAAGCGTTCCAGGATCAGTTTGGCATTTTTGTACGTCTCTGTTTCCATCACCTCCTCCAGCTGCAAACACAAACCGCAGAGACTTAGAACATGGAAAATCAGTTCCAGTTCTGTGGTTAAACAAGAAGACACATTGTGAACAAACAGCAAGAGAGATTCTTCTTGAACTATCAAAACCAGGAAGCTAAAAGAACAAACTAAAGGTTTGTGAGCTTGGTGAACGGCAACACACATGCACCCATGACAAAAAAATATTTCAAAACAACTTTGCATGATTCAAAAGTTTCCACAACATCAACACTCTGCACAAATAAATCACTGACGGATTAGAAAACTTACAATCTTCTTTTTGGCAGCCTTCAAGTCTTCAAGTTTGTCATCTGAAAAAAACAAAGCAAAGCAGAGATAAGTTCATCCGGTTTCATTTTCATCCATCTCTGCTCCTAAAACCTGCTACTTAAAATTCATTCTGAAAAGGTCTGTGTGTTTAAGACATTATAAAGTTACTAAGTTTGAATTTTATTCTTGTACTACTTTCATTTTTATTCTTTTTTTTAATTCTAAGGTCATGATAAATTCAACTCTATGAACCCCCAAACACATCTGTGGTTTGAAATGCTTTCTATTTTAGAAACTAGAAGAAATTAGGGGGAAAAAATTACACTATTTATAAGCCAAATACTGTGAAAGAGAAAACATTATTCATGGGTTTTTAACTTTGCAGCAGTTCTTGAGCTTCTCATCTGTTGCATTGGAGAATAAAAAGCTAATACAAGGCTAAAATTGTTATATTTAACCAAAATCTATTAATTACACGTCTTATTTTTTTCAAAATTTGCCAAAAAGTAAATTACTTGCTCTAACCAGATTCTGTAAAACACAAAAATTCTGCGCTCTGCATCACAACAGTGAAGCTATCAATGACTCAGCCGTGATCAACAGTCACTAGAAAAAAAAAAATCAACGTCTTTTCGGTTAAACTGCAGGCAGTGACACAAGTCTGGAAACTAATTCAAATATAGTAAACAGCAAAGAGTCTATGTTTCATTTTCTAGTGTTGGTAACAGCTGTGGGATCTCAGAATGTGTTGGATATGTTGATTCCAGGTTTTCTTCAACTTTGGTAAAATAAATAATCAATGTAATTTAAGAAAACATTGATGGTTGAAATGCTTTTTTTTTAAGCCAACAAAAGCCTAAAAATGATAAATATAGTTGTAGCCTGACGGACAGAAGAGGACTGACGGACAACTTACTATTTCTCTCAGTGCGTTTGGAAAACAGGAAAATCAGTAATTTCCTGATGAACCAGACGCTGCAGAACAGAAAGACGAGAATCAGATTCAAACTAACACACTCTTTTACTCTGTAAAACTTCTCACGTTCAGAGAGAAAATCAAATAAAACGCAAACAAAGGAACTCGGGTATGAAAACAGGTGTCTGGATCAAACATGTGCGCTGTGCAGAAGGCTGTAGAGACTTACAGTACAGGGTACAGGAAGAAGGGCAGGGCCATGGCTATCCTCTGCAGCCATTGTTCAGGCAGGTAGAGGCAGTAGACGATCAGAGAGGTCAACAGGTAAAGGACAGACGAGTAAATAAGCAACCGGCCGACCCACAGCTGCAGACACAAACACACAAACACAGCAATGAGGGAGAAGTCCAACAGTGTCGCTGCATCCTCAATGTTTTTCTGACTTTACCTTCTGCAGACGCTGGTTCTTGGCTCTGAACTCCTCCAGCTCTTTGATTTCCTACGAAGGAAAGACAGACATTAATCCTCTAAACCACAAAACCCACCAGCAGGTTTGAAAGTTAAAACTGCCAGAACGACACAATTAAACAGCCAGAAACTGTAAAAACAAAAACAACCGTCAGACTGTAACCATCCTTGAACTACTTATCTGTGACCTGCTGTTTCTTTACAAAACTTCTCATGAAGCAGGATTAATGAAATTAACTGGATTATTATATTAATATAATTATATGAAAACATGAGATTTCTGCCTCATGTTCGCCGTTATTTCTATAATCTCATATTTCAGACAGGTCTTCACTCTCTGCAGCCAATAAGGAGTCTAATATGAGTTTGTGGTCATAAATCTTATACATGGAGTTCAGTGTGCAATCAGTACCTTGTCCAGGTTCTCCAGCTGCTCCACTGTGGTCAGCTTCGTCTGGATTAAAGACAAAAACCAGAAAACCGCCATCAGAGCAGCGAACAGATTCACAACTGGCCGATTTACATGCAAACACTCAAACCCTGTTTCTGTAAATACATGTTCACTTGTGTTTTATTACGGCTTCTGTTTGTTGTTGACAGAATATGTGAGCTACATGAGGCTGACAGTAAACCTGCTGACTAATTTCACATTTCTGAGTGAACGGCCGCTGCGTCTCTCTGCTGCTTGCTTCCCTTTGACTTCTCCACTATGTCTAAAAATAGTGCATGAATTTCATCCAGCGTGAGAGCAGAGTTCACCGTGTTCATAGCTGCCATAACCAGAGCGTCTCACGGGACGAGGCGTTTTAGCTCACTGTTCAGGGCTAAAAATAAAACATACACACAGAAACAAGAACAGAAACGAGACACTGCAGCTCTTTGAAATGTGCTCAGATAAAGACTGTTTGTTTCATTTCCTGCTGCTCCTTTAAAAACACTTGGATTCATCATGAAATCACTCAGAATTTAAAGCGTTTACGGTAAATTTTAAGGAATTTTTCCAGACATTTGACGGGCCAGGTAGTGGATTTACCTGCAAGGGTTGGCTGTATGTTTTGGAACACATTTAAAGGTTTTATTAAATGAAAATCCAGTTCTATGATGAGCAACATACTGTGGAACCAAAACCGCTTTTATCTCTTTTGTAAAACCCACTTTTTTTTTTTCTTGCAGTTTGGATTTTACAAATTTTAATTCCTCTTGATCAACTTCTTGTATTTAAGCACACTGTTTAAATTATGACAGCAGCTAATGATTATTTTCTGTTGTTTGGTTGATAAAATATCAGAAAACAGTGACAAATAGTGAGAAATATCTTCAGTTTACTGTCACACAGGAGGAAAGAAACCAGATAATATTCATATTTAAGAAGCTGCAATCACATAATTTTGACTTAATTCCTTTAAAAAACTACTCAAACCAATAATCAAAACGGTTAGTGATTAACTTGACAGCTAATTGATGAATCAGTGCAGCTCTGGTTTCAATCCAACTCTCTTACCTTCCATCGGGACAGCAGGCCTCCCATATCTGTACGTCACAGTCGTCTCCTCTTTGATTTCTTTGGTTCACTGAGGAGCAGAAAGTTTCCGATCAACATGTTTCAGGTTGAGAAAACACACACAATCCTCCCCGTGAGTGACGTTAAGCCCACATATGACACTTATACAACATGACTGCCTACAGAATCACACAAAGGCTGCTGTTGTTGTTGAGGATTTACTGAAGTAATCGGTTCCCACAGCTCCTTATACAAGTTAGAAAACAACACGTATGGGGACAGACACAAAGCTGCAAAGTTGGATTTTTACTGAAAAGTGTGTGACGGAGCTCAAATGAAACAACACAGTCTTTGTCTTGTTTATTTCATCCTGCAGAATCTCTCTGAAGAAACAGATTTGACTGAATACGCTCTCTCATCACCTGACCCAGTCATTTATTACCAAGTATTGCAATACCCTGAGATTACACATGGTACAAATCCACGTTTGTAGTATCTGTCCCAACACAAAGACAGGGTTTCAACAGAAGCAATATATTCTGTGAGTTGCATCACTGTGCGACAGCAGTCAGATTAGTTACGGCTCTACTCTCAAATTATGTTCGCATTTTCATTAACGCTAGATAAGAAAAAAACTATTCATTCTAAGCTCCATGTCCTGTCAAGTGTAATATTACTTCTTACTTTTTTATTTTAGTCATATTTTAGATCATTTGTTTTCATTGTAATACTTAAATCTTATTGCTTCTCTATTAGATGCTGCAGTTATTGTCATATTTTGTTATTTTAGCTTTTTTTCTGGCCAGTATGTCATCTTATACCGATATGTTATGCTCTCATCCCATTACAGTGACTGATGTTTCAGGTTTTTACTGAGGCACAGAAGTCAGAGTTCGGATGTCAACACTCCTGTCAAACAAGTGAGAAAAGATTTCCATACAAGTCTGTAGATAAGCCCAAATTTACAAAGAAAAAAGCACTTACAATGAAAAGAGTTCCCAGGTTTGCTGATGATATGTTTAATGTCTTCACTGTCTCTGACTGATTAGGTTAAGTTTCTCCATTGTGCATTCTTTGTCCACTATTTTCTATGCAGATAGTGAACTAGTGGGGGTTAAAGTCCCTGTGTGGTCACCAGACACAGTTAACTGGCTTCTCATTGAGCCCTCACATTTCAAATTTACAGCTTTTTGCCCACAAATTATTTAATTTCCTATTTAGCATCGTCATAGCCCACAATAACATCACACAGAGTTGATGCTAACGCTAGCTGCCCCATCTAAACACTGAGTCCTTTCACTGTGCTGCCACAATAATAGTGACAGATAATAATAAGTTAGAGGCTGGTAGTGAGCGCAGCTTTATTTTTATTGAAATATTTTATTTGCTGTGAATCAAACTAGACCTCAACCAGAGTTACGTGATGCTAACTGCTACATCCAGCCTGGTTCCCACAGCAGCAGTACCAGCTAACACATCGCGGTCACTTTAAATCACCCGCATTCGGTGTTTTCAGGTTAATGAGTGAATAAAAACTCACATGAGTCGCTGTTCTGCCGCTTCTATCGCCGCTCATTCACTCAGGTTTGCGCTGAAACTAGCAAACAGCGCGCTTTCCCTGCTAGCTGCGCCTCTGCTGACATCTCAACTGACACCGTTTGGCGCTGCGTGGAGACGTCAGCGACGCGGTGACGTCACCCGGGGGTAAAGGTAGACGTATCCCCCAGAGTCCTTTGCGGTGTAGTCTTTACCGCCAACGTGTACTGACCCCCATGTTGGCCACGTCAGAAGATTTTAAACAACTAAATTGTTTTAGATGTTTTTCAAGTAGATTTTTTTTTTTTAAATAGTCTTTTGCTCAAAAAAACTTATTTTACAGCCTTTACATGCTCGTTGTTGCAAAACTGTACAACCGTTGTATGAGGATATACATTTGTAGTAGTGAACAGTAATTTTTGAAAGTACAAAAACACTTACAGAAATTAAATACAAGGATACTGTACGTTTTTTAATGCAATTTCATGCAACCAAAATGTGTTACAGGCCACATCTGAGGTTCAACTGTCTTATCTGGACAATGATAATAAATAGCTGTGACCTTCAGCCTTCAAGCTGAGGTTAGAAAATATTGCACAGAGGAGATGTGGAAACATCTGTTCATCTATGCAGCAAGTAAAGGGGCTATAGGTTACTCCAAAGTAAAACTGCACAAAGACGGCAATGATTCTACAACAAAGAGGCTTAGGAGTGCAAAATAAAACTGAGTTCAGCAACATCACTTCATGTCAAATGATTTGAAACGGTGTTTCTGCATATGAGTGATCATAACCATATAT